AGCATACATGACAGAGGTTTACGTAGTGCTATGCCTAGCTGCCTCATTAACCATTTGTTCAACCCAAAGGTTTTCAGATTACTTTTTTTTCAGGTAGACAATCTTAGATCAGGAAATAACTTCTCTCCAGTAAAATTTATAATCTGTTTCCTTTCATCTTCAATCACCCAGGAGTTCCAGACCACCAGACACATGCAGACTTCCTGGCTATGTCCCATTTTTATACCCCAATGATTTCTCATCAATTGTGCTAGGGATAGTTGTGCTGTCTCAGTGGTATTATTCATTACACTTTTCAGTGCACCTCTGAGTAGAAACTTGTTAAAACAAATGAATATATACTCTCTCAAACTTTTTTTTTTTGATGTTGGCTGTTTGTTAGTCATAGATGGCTTTTACCAGGTTGAGGTAAAGACCATTGATTTCTATTCTCTGTAAGGTTTTTATCATGAATGCATGTTGGACTTTGTCAAAAGCTTTTTCTGCATCTACTGAGATGATTATGTGATTTTTGTCTTTAGCTTTATTGATGTGGTGTATTACATTGATATCTACTTTTGAGGCAGGGTGTTGCTACGCAGGCCAGGCTAGGCTTGAACTCACTGTCTTCTTTCCACAGCCTCCCAAGTGCTGGGATCACAGGTGTGCATCTCTTGGTCTCTTAACAACCATCAAGAAAGACTTTCAATAATACATAATCTCTGTCCTTGGGTGTTTATAATCCAGGCAGGAAAGTTTTGTCTTTTTGAGACAGGGCCTCATGATATAGTTCAGGCTGGTCTCGAACTCACAATGATCCTCCTGTCTCAGCCTCCTGAGTGCTGGCATTACAGGTGTGCACCACCGTGCCCGGCATGGCAGGAGAGTTTTATTTTTTTATTTACTTTTTTCTGGTATCGGGAATTGAACTCACGACCTCGCGCTTGCCAGGCAGGCGCTGTGCTGCTGTGCTAAATCCCCAGCCCAGGAAGTTTGAAATAACACTAACCTGTAACTGTGTAAAGCAGGCACAATGACAGTGCGCCTGCAGGAACACCATTTGAGATGACAGTGCTGCAGAAGGTCCCAGGAGAAGTAAGACTTCACGGTGAGAAGTGAAGGGAGGCTGGAAGCGCTGGCCAGAGCTGTGAAGGTGCTGAGGTGGGAGTCTGGGGAGTCTGATGGCAAGGGACTGAGGGGAGATGTGGCTGGGCCAGTCTCAGGGCCATGTGAGCTGTGACATGCAGCTGGTCTGTATTCTAAGAGCAACAGACAGCAGTAGAGGGATGGGTTAGAGTTTGTGTATTTCAAAGCTCCCCCTGGCTGCTGGTGGAAAACAGAGGAGGAAAAGAACAGGGGCTAAACGCCAAAACTGGGGCTGGTGTTAGGAGGATGGACCACAGCTCAGGCTAAAACAGACGAGACGCTCTCAAGTTAGGGTGCACAGAGGAGCAGCACAGCCAGGTGCTCTTCAGGTCTCCAGCTCAAGCCCCTCAGAAGTCAGCAGATGGGCAGACTGTGGGCACTGATGTCCCCAAGCAGACAGGTGTCATGGGGGCCTGGAACTCAGAGCTGACAGCAATTCTGAGACCACGGCATACCAATGGCATGAAGAACCAGAATAAATAGGAAGAGAGACAATGTATTACACTTCAGTAGTTACTGTGGGTAGAAGAAAAGCCAATAGGAGATGTTCTCGAGAAATGGCCAGTAACACGTAAGGAATATTTAAAAAGGGCTGGGATGTAGCTCCATGGTAGAACACTTGCCTAGCATGTGCAGGCCCTGGGTTCCAGCCCCATCACCACAAAAAAGAGAGGAAACAGTAAGGTATAAAGGCCAAGGAATCCTGGCTTTGAAGCATGAGTGAAGAAGCAGTTTCACATGCTGAGATGCTAAGAAGAGACTGCAAAGTACCCCCCACGCACACGGTGGTTATCAGCAGTGTAACACCCCAGCACTCACTTCCCCTCCGTGGGCTCCTATCTTCAGGTCCCAGCTTTTGCTGCAGGGCTGATTGTGGCTCTGGTCACCATGTACAAATATGTAGAGCCTTGTGTCCTGCTCATCAATACCCTAAAGAAGAGCTGCTCTCTAAACTCAAAGTCGGCTAAGCTAGGCAGGAGAGTCAAGCTCAAGTGGCAACAAGAGCACAGCCAGCCAATGAACTGCAAACAGAAGTGTTCGCAGACAGTAAGTACACATGGCACGCTATACCAACTTTCCGAAGTGTTTAGTCCTCCATGAAAAATTTCATTTCAAATGAAAAAAGAAAAACACACCACAAGTTAACGAATGTAAAAGTTTTATTGAATAAATACATGCATTTCCACGTAAAATTGGTTAAGCAAAAGGACATTCTGTGATTGAAATGCTCTGCTGCCCTGCCTTGCAGTGGGCAACTGGCTCACACTGGCGTGAACGCAGCATCAGAAACGAAAGCCGCACTGTCCGTGCTGTCTGCACTGCCTGGGTTCTTGACAGGACTGACCTGCCAACAGAGAACACCTGTGAATGGCAGGAAAGATATCCACAAGGCTGCTTCTGTTCTAGTCTGAAATCCGAAAACACCACCTTTGGACTGTAAGGCACAGGATAAGTAACCCCCATGTATAAGCTAACAGAGCTTCACTTCAAATTCTCGTAAGGTAATTTTCCCTGTATTTATTTTGGCTCAAAATAGAAATGTCAATTCCCTTTTCCTAGACAAGCCATTATTAAAACTAAAAGTTACATTTTGAAAGCAAAACGAGGTGTCTTCCGTCACCACGCCCCTGGAATGCTGAGCACACCTGGAAGGAAACACGTAGTCTTCCCTGAACAGTTCAGACAGGACCAGCCCTTTCCTCTCTTTCTTCTTCTGTGAGAGAATGGAGATGGCTGTAGAGGACTGAGAGTGTGCAGGTGGGGACCTTGTGCCCAGATCCTTGGGGCCAATCTACTGGCCTCACTGCACCAAGGTTAGTTCGCTCTGTGCTCGGCTGCTTGCTGTGGGCTCTGCGCCTGGAACTGCGCCCACCATGCCTGTTCAACGTGGGAAAGCACTGAAGTATGTAAAGTATGCACTGAGCACACCGTGCGTCTGGGTGCCAACCCCAGATGTTTAGAGTGCTGGAAAAATTATTGGCACGATAAAATTTCAATGAGTGTTTCTTCTCTTTTACAGACTTTGGGAGAAGCCCTTCAATAGAGCTTTTTCTTTAGAAATTAAAAAAAAAGCTAACACCATGAATAAACACCTAGATTTAACAGGATACTAGTTTTCTCCTGCTACTAAAATGCCATAGCTAAGTATTTTATTTGCATATATGCTCATATGTGCAGGGCACATTCATAAACTCCTCACAGAATAAACAATCTTGTATATGGCCTGGAAATGACTTGACAGAGAGGCTTCAGAGAAAAGTATCCACAAAAGGGGACAGTGAGACTATACTGGTCCTTATGATTATGTGTAGTGTGCCGTGAAGCTACAGACATCATTATAAATAAATCCATGGCACACAGCACAGTTGTACGTGAAATGTAACAAGCTTGAAGGGAGGAGCGTGGAAGTAACACTCAGTGCTTGCCACAGGCACTTTGGTATGTTCGGTTACAAGAGCTACTCACCGTTACATCAGTTACAAAGCTGTATTTCCCTATACATGTGTGTATGTGTCACAAAGGGTCTAATGGCTAAGAATGGCCTTTCTCCTACTGCAGCTTAAAATGCATAAGGAAGCTTCTTTCTATGCACACTTCGCTTACAGACATGCATAGCTTATAACACCACTACATAGCCTCACCTCATAACAGGTTTTGGGGACACTTATATATATATAAAAAATACTTTTAATAATCTAAAAAGAAAAGATGACACCAAAATGGAAACTGTGTAACAATATCCTAGTAATAAGGTCAGTCATGGCATAAAACGAAGAAACACAAAACGCAGTGACGACCAGCACACGCCATAGGCAGCAGAACAGAGCCAGGTCCGAGCGGGCCTGCCATAGCCGCAGTGTGTGGTTTTACGTGCAGATGTGGAGCCAATGCTCATGTGACCCACGAGGGAATGGCTACCAGTTTTTAGCACAAGATCCTCCCTATTCACCTCACTATCGTGACCTCGCCACCTTAAAATGACAGTGTGCGCCTTTGCGATCAAGGTCTGGGAAACGTAACAACGCAGGCTGCACCGACTGTGACAACTGCTTGCTTACCTGCTAACATGGAAGGCTGTCCCTGCCTCTGGAGCATCACAGTGCCTCTCTCACTACTTCACTAGCCAGTTACAACAAGCAGCTGCAACCAACTGAAGGTATTTCTCTTTATGGAAGAGATTCCAGATCAATACACAATTTATGAACCATGACAATTCCCCAGAAATTTTGTGTCACTCAGTTACACAGCAGATTTCCTTACAAGCCCTTTGCTGCAGTTCCCAATTAATACCCCTTTACATTCATGAAAGTGTTCATAGTCTGAATGCTTTACCTAACGGGCAGAAACATACTAGTGTTTACTCATCTTCCCACATTTTTCTTTTAAAAAGAAACACCACAAAATAGGTTGCTGAGAATGTTTTGCTGCAAAGATGAAAATGAGTAATTTGTCAAGAATTCAATAAATTTTAGAAGAAAATACGTACTTTTTTGATCCACTTTCTTCTGAGTTCAAACTAGCATGTAGAGATAATAAAAAAATAGTCTATTTACATGTGGTGCATGGCGCCCCACAGCACTGTACAAACAAGGCAGCGATGCTGTGAGCCAGGCTAGGCCTCCCAGTGGGCACAGCTGACCACACCCCACTGCACACACAGTGGCTGGCCAAGCCTGGGGGAAATTCAGCATAAAAATCAACAGTAACATTGGCCAAATTTGCCTAAAATGCCAAGAGTTGTTATAAAATTATTAAGGTATATATATAT